GCCGCCAGATGTTCCCATCTGGGGGGGCCCCGCCGCCCCCCCGGCTCCAAATCCCGCCTGGAACAGCCGCGGGATCCGGAACCGCCCGGCGGGGATGGCTCCAGCCCCGGCCCAACATCCCGGCAGGGCCGGAACGGGCCGAAACCCGGGATCCGCCGGGATGTTTATTTGGATTATTTGATTATTTGGTTGGGATTTCGTAGGGAAAAGGCGCCTGGAAGTCGGGGGGCGCTGGGGGGGCTCCGGCGCCGTGTCGGGATGGGGAGGGGGGCAGGAAAGGGCTCGGTCCCGTCTGGAACGGCTCTTTCGGGAATAACAGTCCCCCCCTTCGGGGGGCTCCATCCCCGGGGTCCCGGGGGGTCCCCGCGTCGCCCCCCGAGCCCAGGGATGAACGGGGGGGCTGCGGAGCGCCCCCAGCTCCTGCCCCGGGGATTCCCGGTGGGAATTCCTGGCTCGGGGCCGGGGGCCGGGGCTGGCTCGGGGGGTCCCCGGTGGCCGGACCCCCCCGTTCCCCCCTCCCGGTTCTGGTGCCTGAGCCGCCGCTTCCCCTCGGCCTCCGCGGGGCTTTTCCCGTGCGGATCCACGTGGGAAGCGCCCCTGGAGCATCCGGAGGCCTCTCGGGGTTTTCTGCAGTGGGTTTTGGGCTGGTTTGGGGTCACGGCCGGGGAGAAGCAGCGAATCCCGGGTGTGTCCGGGAGGAAATGAGGAATCGGGAATCTGGGTGAAAGGGGGAGTGTGACCACGTCCTCTCCCCGCTCCGGGGGCCCCCGAGGGTTTCATTCCGCTTTGGTGACCAGGAGTTAATTAAAATCCGCAGTTTAATTAAAGCCGAGCCTTGGCAGGCCGGGAAGGAACCGGGAATGAGCCGGGAATGAATCAGGAACGAGGCCCGGCCGCCTCCGTGGATCTGCTCCGATCCCGGGCTTGGCACACCGGGAGTTTTCCTGGATCCCAAGTTTTCCCCGGGAATGGCCGTCCCACCCCCGCTCCCTCTGCCACGGGATGTGTGCGGCACCGCCGTTCCCGTCCCACCGCGGTTTTCCATGGGGAAACCGAGGCAGCCGGGAATGGCGGCACCTCTCCCCGGCCTTTTCCTGGTTATTCATTAATCCCGGCGCTGCCGGAGTCGCTCCTGCCCCCGTCCAGGCTGGGAAATGCGGGATAAAGGGATATTTCATTCCCCAATCCCGCTTGCACCCCGGGACTGGGGGGGGGTTTGTCCTGCGGCTCCCTGGGTGACACTTGGGGACTTTGGGATCCCCAAAAAGCCCCGGCTGGGACCGGGAGCGTTATCTGGATCCGATCAATCCCGGCTTATCCCGGTGGAGTTAATGTTCAACCGGGTGACGCCAGCCCTGCTCCCGGTGCCAGGGCCTCTCCCAAGCCGCTGTTTTACGAGGAAAAAAGCAACATTTTTCCCAAAATAGCGCCTTTATCCCAACCTTCCATCCCCAGAGAAGCGGCAGCAGCCGCGGAGGGGCTCTCCCGGGAAGGGTCCAGCCTGGAATTGCTGCGGGCAGGAGATGAAAGCCCCAAAACAGAGGAGAGCAGGGGTTTGTGTCACCCCACAACTGCTCTGGGGGTACCCAGGGCTCGGGGGATTCGGGGGGCTGGAATCCCCTGGGATTAGCTGCTTCCTTTTGGGATTCTGGTCCTGGGATCACCCTGGGATGGGAGGGGGGTGTTTCCAAAGCTCGGGGCTTTCCAGGGAGTGTGTGAGAGGGGAAACTGAGGCACAGAGAGGAAGGGCTGGAGCTGGGGCCGCATCCGGGCTTCTGGGGCCGGAGCAGGGGGGGCTCCGAGGGGCGACCCCGAGGCGGGATCCGAGGTGACCCCGGGGATCCCAGGGGATACTGGGCGGTGACCCGGGATGTCTCTGCGGCCCAGTCCCGGGGGATGCCGGGCTGTGGTGGCTGCAGGGGCTGATCCCGAGGGATGCTGGATACAGATCCCTGGGGATGCTGGAATACAAATCCCTGGGGATTCTGGATACTGATCCCTCGGGATGCTGCGGTGTGCTGGCCAGAGCTGGGCTGAGTCCAGAGTGATCCCTTGGGATGCTTTGGGAACTGATCCCGGGGGATGATGCTGATCCCGGGGGATGATGCCGATCCCGGCTGGATCCCGGGGATCCCGGGGGATGATGCCGATCCCGGGGGATGCTGATCCCGGCTGGATCCCGGGGATCTCGGGGGATGATGCCGATCCCGGGGATCCCGGCCGGCCCCGGGGACCCCGAGCGAACAAAGGCCCCGCGGGCAGCACGAGGCCGGGGGGCGGCGCGATCCGCCCCCGGGGGGCGGGACCGAGAGGGACCGGGCAGGGACCGGGAGCACCGGGAGGCACCGGGAAGGAGCCGGGAAAGCGCCGGGAAAGCGCCGGGAACAGCGGGAGGGAGCCGGGAGCGCTCCCTGGATTATGTCCCGTATCGAGTCGCTGTCGCGAGCCAGGAGCGATCGTGCCAAGGTGGGTCCCGGCCAGCGCAGCCCCACCGAGCGGGGACCCCCCTCTTCCAGCCCGTCTTGGGGTGGGGGGGGGGCTCTTCCCGCTCCCGTTTGGGGGGAGGGAGGGGTCACCCCATCCCTCACCCGGAACTGGGGGGGCTCTGCCCCGCCCCGGGCGGATTTGGGGGTTTTTTGGGGGGTCACGGGGGGCGTTACGCGGTTCGGGGATCCCCGGGAGGGGGCGAGGGCCCCGCAGCTGCTCCCCATTGTGCATCGGGGGGTGCTGGCTGGAGCAGGGACCCCCTGCCCTCACGTCCCCCCCCCCGCAGCTCGGGGGACCCTCGTGTGTCCCCCCCAAAACTTCTCCGCCGCCCCAAACTTGGCCCCGACTCCTCCTCATCCTCTTTCCGCCGGGGCCGAAGCTCCGGGTGACGCGAGGATGAGGGTGAGGAAACCGCCTTCCCCTCCTGCCGGGGGGGGGGACGAAGTTTTAGGGACCCCCCCCCCACCCCAATTTTATCTCTCTCCACGGAGACAAAGCCCGGCGGGGCGTCCGGGGATGGGGAAACTGAGGCACGGGCCCTCCGGGAGCGTGACCGGGGGTGCGGGGGGGGGCCCGGGCATGTGGCAATGCCGGCGTGGCGAAACGCCGGGCGGGGGGGGCTGGGGGGGCCCGCGGGGCTTTGTCTGCGTGGACAGAGATAAAATCGGGTTGGGGGAATCCCTAAAACTTCGTTCCCCGCCCGGCAGGACCTCAGTTTACCCCAAAACGGGGAATTTTTTGGGGAGGGCGGGACCCCCGGAGCCGCCGCTGCCCCCGCCCCGAGCGCTCCTGGATGCGCTGAGCCTGAGCGGGCAGGGGAGGGGGTTTGGGGGTCCCGGAGAAGGGTTTGGGGAAGTTTGGGGAGCCCGGGGGCGGTTTGGGGGGGCTCGGGGGCGGTTTGGGGGGGCTCGGGGGCGGGTGGGGGGGGGCGCGGGGGGGTTGGGGGGGGGCGGGGGGGCGGTTTTGTGGAAGGGGGAAGTGGTTGTTGGTCCCCGCGCAGCCCGGGGGGGGGAAATGGTGGTTTTTTTGTTTAAACAAAGTTTCCTCCAGGCCATTCTCGCCCCACCCAGGGCCGGGGGGGTCGGGGCGCCGGGGTGACCCCCCCAAAGGCAGCGGGACCCCGCCGGCCCCGGCTGGGAGGGGACATTTGGGGACCCCCCCGCCATCCCCGCGGCTTTACGGGGGACCCCCCCCCCCCCCCCTCCTT